TAACGGGGTTTTGGGTCCAAGGCTCAGCTCGGTCGGACGATGTGTCCTTTGGAAATGCACATTGTACTTTGCATGAATGTTCCTGTCTGGCTCGGTTCTATTAGGTTATTGAAGAACCAGGGCCTCCGAGTTTAACGTCCATCTATGAAAAGACCGATTCAAAGAAGAAATTCGAGCAAGGTGCCTTCTCCAAGGACCCAACGTCGGACCGTTGTATTCCCAAACCCGCAATCTCACAAATACGGGTCCGGTAGCCTATCCATTAGGCTGCCGACGCCACTTTGAATTCGGAGGTTCGGTCTGTGACAGTGTTGCAACGGGTGCTACATCTTTAGTTTCCCTTTTTTTTTTCAAAACACCACGCGACTTCACTTTCACCGTTTATCCTTCAGCTTTAGTTAAAGGTTGTGTTCTTTAAAAAAAAAAAAAAAAATTTAAGTTGGGCAGACTATGTTTTTGTCGCACACATGGTAAATAGTACCTGCTAAATTTGTTTAAAACCGTAATTATCTTGGAAACATCCCAATGCATAGCAATGTCGTTTAAAGCTGATATCAAATGAATTACAGTATAGAGGTCTAGTTCATAAAGGGTGTATTATAAGTTTTAGGAGGACATAGAGTCTACCTAACCACAGGGAAAAAACGTGTGTACACAAGGGGCAAAAAGAAATAATAAATGACCCTGACATCAGAGAAAAAACGTTATGATCACCTAACGACGACAGCTCCCCGGTTGCAATATTTCGGTATTACATGTCTTAGAACGACAAGACCATGCGTTCTGGTCTAGAGCGTACGGCAGCTGCAAAAGTCAGAATCTAGCGTAGTGCATCATGCAAAGAGAAGTTTCATATTTTTGCCTCAGACAAAAAAGCAACACAAAAAGCCCGCAGTGTAAATCAATGATTTCTACTTCCCAAGTCATTCCTCAAGGATTGCTTTAGCTCAACCATAAACGGCAAACCAGAAAATCCGTGGCCCCGCCCCTGGGAAACACCACCATTATAACCTGGCTGAACTGCAATGGTACATTCTGGGCACACGTCGGCCCGACGCGGTTTATACAATCTACAAACTCATTGAACGCCCCAACCTTATCAACATAAAGACGACTGAAGTGGTTTTTCTCGCATATCAATGTTTTTATTTCACCTTCAAGATAGCGTATTCATTTTGAGCTGTACTGCACTGAGATTAAAAAGGCGATTTCAATACTAAGTGCAATTTCACTTTAAGTATCTATTCGTTTTAAGTGACAAAAGTGTGTGTGGGGGGGGGGGTTTCAACCAGTTCGTTTTTGATCCGTTACGTGTCCTTTACTCTTTATATTTCCTTTAAAAGTCTGCAACGACATAAATTCAGGATACAGTGGTGAACTTCACAACTTCACCTTAAACATACGCCCTATAAAGCGTATCAGTTCTGCGATTATGAATAGGAAGAGATTTGAAATCGTTCTGACGATCGGTGTAATCGCTAATTGATCTGCACGGTTTTGTGCTCCAACTTCCCGTTCAAAGACCGCATGGAAGGCCACGTGCATGGAAGTGTGCCGATCAATTTTACAGAAATAAAATTAAAACTCTCTTTAGACAGAGCGTATGACTTTTCATTCATTCGACAAGTCGCAGTACTTTTACCGCCGTGAGAGTAAGAAAAACTGCATTTCTGCAATATTTTGACAATCATCTAATTCCCGTCGCCTGAACAGCACCTGGGCCCATGCTTTCCAGCTATGATACACGAGCGGCCCGAGGCTTGCAGATCTGCAGTACAGGGGAGTAATGAAATACAGGGCTAGGGGGAGGAAGGACGTCAGCGATGCGTGGATAGTTACAGTGGTTCATCTCAACTCAATTCATTTTCTCCAGCTAACAGTTGAGAACGGAATGTGGAAAGCGCTTTTTTATGTGTGGACATAATAGCTATTTTCTCTTCAATTCATTTTTTTCAAGCTCGGCGCTCAGAACGGAACGTAAAAAACGCTTTGACTTTGAAACTCCTTGATTTAGCACGAGTCAGCCGCGCCTTAGCTCAAAGATTTCTATGATTTCATGCCAAGTGCCAAGTAACCCCCCCC